CCCCACGCCGCGGCCGCCGACCCCCGCTTGGGCGCTCCGCACAGCCGCCGCGGCCTCCCGCGCCCGCCCCGTCTCCCGCCGCGCGGCCCCGCATGGCGGTGAAGATGGCCTTCCGCAAGGCCTACTCCATCAAGGACAAGCTGCAGGCCATCGAACGCGTCAAGGGCGGCGAGCGGCAGGCCAGCGTGTGCCGCGACTTTGGCGTGCCCGGCGGCACGCTGCGCGGCTGGCTCAAGGACGAGCCGAAGCTGCGCTGGTTCCTGGAGCAGCTGGGCGGCGAGGTGGGCACGCAGCGCAAGAAGATGCGACTGGCCAACGAAGAGGAGATCGACCGCGCCGTGTACTCGTGGTTCCTGGCGCTGCGCCAGCACGGCGTGCCGTTGTCGGGGCCGCTCATCCAGGCGCAGGCAGAGGCCTTCGCGCGCCAGATCTACGGGCCCGAGTGCACCTTCAAGGCCAGCCACGGTTGGTTCTGGCGCTGGCAGAAGCGCCATGGCATCTCCAGTCAGCGCATCTACGGCGAGGCCGAGCCCCCGGCTGCCGGCCCTGCGCCCGGCCCGCCCGTCAAGCAGGAGCCAGCGCAGCCCCCAGGCGCCGGCCCCCCGCCGGGCCGCGCCTCTGCACCGTCTTCCCCCGCCGAGGGTGGCTACGGCGACGAGCAGATCTACAACGCCAACGTCACCGGCCTCTACTGGAAGCTGCTTCCGGAGCAGACTGCGCCTGTAGGTGCGGGGGGCTGCAGTCGCCGCTGGCGGGGCGACCGGGTGACTGTGCTGCTGGCCGCTAACCTGACCGGCAGCCACAAGCTGAAACCGCTGGTCATTGGGCAGCTGCCGGACCCGCCCAGCCTGCGCCACCACAACCAGGACAAGTTCCCAGCCTCGTACCGCTACAGTCCCGACGCCTGGCTCAGTCGCCCTCTGTTGCGGGGCTGGTTCTTCGAGGAGTTCGTCCCGGGCGTCAGGCGCTACCTGCGCCGCAGCTGCCTGCAGCAGAAGGCCGTGCTGCTGGTCGCCCACCCACCCTGCCCGAGCCCGGCCGCCAGGATGCCTGCCCTGGAGGAGAGCGACGAGACCCCCAGGCGGTGCCGGCCTGAGCCTCTCGGCTCCCCGGAGGAGCTGCAGACCCCTGATGGGGCTGTCCGGGTGCTGTTCCTGTCCAAGGGCAGCAGCCGGGCACACATCCCTGCCTCACTGGAGCAGGGTGTGGTGGCTGCCTTCAAGCAGCTGTACAAGCGGGAGCTGCTGCGACTGGCGGTGTCCTGTGCGGGGGGCTCCCCGCTGGACTTCATGCGCAGCTTCATGCTCAAGGACATGCTCTACCTGGCCGGCCTCTCCTGGGACCTGGTGCAGGCAGGCAGCATCGAACGCTGCTGGCTGCTGGGCTTGCGGGCGGCTTTCGAGCCCCAGCCGGAGGAGGAGTGTGTTGGGCAGCCATCAGGCCAGGCTGAGGAGGCGGCTGAGCACAGCAGGGTGCTCAGCGACCTCACGCACCTGGCAGCCCTGGCCTACAAGCGCCTGGCACCTGAGGAGGTGGCCAAGTGGCTGCACCTGGACGATGATGGGGGCCTGCCCGAGGGCTGCCGGGAGGAGGCAGGCACTGGCCGGCCCCCTGTGCTGTCCCCTGTGGCCCTGCCACCCCCCACCAGCCTACCCTCTGTCATGGAGGAGGAGGAGGAGGCCCCCATGCCCACCGCTGGGGAGGCTGTTAGGGGTCTAGAGACCGCTCTGCGGTGGCTGGAGAGCCAGGACCCCCGGGAGGTGGGGCCACTGAAGCTGGTGCACCTGCGCTCACTGATCAGCATGGCCAGGAGGCTGGGGGGCATTGGGCCGTCTCCCACAGTCCCCGACAATGGGGTGTGACCAAGCCAGCCCAAGCGGCCCCCTAGAGGCCTTTGTCCTGCTGCACCTGGAGGGAAGGGGACACACAGTCTCCCCCTCTGCTGTACTCCCCTCCCCTGGGGTGGCCCCATGACTTGGGTTCCAGGGAACCCATCCCAGCCTGGCTTGGAGGGGCTGTCTATTGGTGAAGGGTCATCCTGAGGGGACTGGAGGAAAGGTCCCCCAGGCTCATGCTGCTCCCTGGGCAGGCATCCATGTGGGATCTGTGGTCTGAGCCAGGGCCCCTCCCACGCACACCTGCACTCACACACCACAGCACTTACCAGAGTGCAGTTCACTGTGCTCCGTCCTGGCCCTGTGGGCTGAGGCCACCAGCCCTCCCCTCCCACTCCTGTAGCCTGTCACTTGCACTGGACAAGGGCCCAGGACTCTTGTCCACTCCGAGCCCTGGTGCTGCGTAGTTCCCACACCACAGCCACATGGTCATCTCAGTGAGAAGGTGCACCACTCAGTTTTGTTTTTAGCGCATTAAATCTGTTTTTACAGATACTCTAGGTCAGGGTGGGGTCTCAGTCCTCATCGTGGGCCCATTTTTGCTGGATGGCTCCATGGGCTGGGAAGGGGACGGTGCCCAGCACTTGGGCTTCCTGAGGTTCTGGATGCAGCAAGGTGTAGATTTCTGTTCCACTTGAGTTTCTAATTTTCCTTAAGAAAATACATTTTCTGAACAACTCTCGTATTGCATGAGGTTGGCTTGCGGGTGACTTGGGCCCTGGTGACTAGAACACTGATTGGACAAGCTCCCGGACCCCCCCCCCCCCAGCAGCACTGACAGCTGTGCCAGGACAACCTTGCAGTGCCTTAGAGACCCTCAGGCTCCTCCGCCTCTTCTGGCACTGCCAAGGGCCCTAGGAATTGGGCTTCTGGGTGGCACAGTTTGAAGGGGGAAAGGGCCCGTGTGTCACTGCCCTGCTTTTGCGTGGTCTGGTGGTCTGAGGCCCAAGATGCCCATCCTTCCTAGGGGGGAGAGGTTGCCCTTGCAGAGATGCTGCCCAGAGACCTCGTGAGGTGCAGGGGGCTGCTCTCCCACTCTCACCTGCCCCGTCCTGGTGGCTCGAGGTTGCAGACAGGCGGTGTGTTTGTAGAATGACTGCACCTCAGTGAGGCAACTGGAGAGAGCCTCTGAGCGATTTCCACACAAGCCCAGGCAGCTGGTAGGTGGCTTCTGGGATCCAGGGATGGGAGCCTGCTGGGTGTGTGCAGAGGCAGACCTCAGGGCCCAGAGGGGCACCAACTGGTGGCCTTGGTGGCAGCCCTTCAGCCTGCATCAGCGCTGGCTCCTCTGGCCAAGGTGTCCGTCTCTAGTCTTCTGTGTCTAGCCCTCTGTGGGCCTGGGCAGGGGGCTGGAGCAGGACCTCTTGCCTGCCTCTTTGGAGCTGCTTCACGGGTCACCAGCCCTCTCCTATCTGGGGAACCGAGGCTGCACCTCAGGAGGCAGCTCCGGTCTATCCTGGTGGCCCTGGATGGGCACTGTCTGAAACGAGGCTGGTCCAGGCTGGCCTGGGGCCCTGAGAAGCTAGTGCGAGTGACTGTCAAGTGGGGCCGTTGGCTTCACTGGACCGGAGAGATTTATGGAGGTGTCTTGTGTCCTCCAAGGGGTGGAGGCTGCAGGCACCTGGCCCCAGGCAGCCCCACCAACAGGTCACTATGATCCCCGGTTGCCCCAGGGCCCCATTGCAGCACTGCCTCTGGTTCAGTCACCCATCTCCCTGGGCTCAGCTCTATGAAATCAGGCAACCTGGCCAGAGGCCTGCCATGGGAGACCTGTTTGTCTCTGCAGGAGAATGGCTGAAACAGACCCCAGCTGGTGGCCGCACTCGGCCTGCTCCTCACTGCTGTTACCTGATGGGCACATGGGCATTTGAGCTTGCCACTCTGGTTTGTGATGACCTGACAGGCAGTGGAGGGCCCTGGGGGAGGGGGTCTTGGCTGATGCTGCTGGAGTTGCTTCAACTTCTGTTGTCTGCCAGCTGGAAACATTCCCTACCACGGTGAGGGGACCCTGCAGCCTGGGAGGTGCTTAGGGATAAAGCCATTGGCCTCCTTACTCCTGTTCAAGGTGAAGGTCACTGCTCTTCCAAAAAGTGGCCCTTGGTCAGGGTCATTGTTAGAGCTCGCCCGGTGGGTGTGGCAGTGGGCAGGGAAGGAAAAGCACCGGGATGGGATGAGCCAGTGTGCAGACATCTGCTCGAACCACCCGATCTGCGTGTTTTGGGGATGAGACCAGGCAGCGAGAGTCAGAGGGGGCCCAGCCTTGCCTGAGGGGACTGTGTGCTTGGAAAGTGGCCCCAGATGTCAGCTGGAGTGTGGACAAAATATCGGAGTGTGCTGTGAGGAAGGGGAGCACCTCACTGATGGCAGAGCTCACCTAGTCAGGTGAGCCCAGTGCGCTTTACAATAAAGGCTGACCATGTCAGCTTCATAAGCATCCCCATTCTCAAGTCTTGTTTGTGTTGCTTTGACCCAATGCTTGGATTTAGAACACCTCAGAAGTTGAAAAAGTGGAGGGTATAAAAATGGGACAGCACTGATGCAAGGTGGCAGCACCTGTGCACCAGGCCCTTAAAGTCCTTTTAACCTTGTGCTGTAAGGCGAAGTCTCAGCCGGCTGCCCGGCCCCCAAGCTGCCCCTCCTGGGTCTACACATCCTGTCACAGGCTACCACCTGCGGCTAGGCTGCCCCTCCAGCTGGGCTGGGGCTCACTGAGGCGTCCCCATTCAGGGAGTGGCCTGCTTGGCTGAGCCCACCCCGGTCCCCAAGGATTGTGATGCATCACTGGGACCCAGACGTTCAGCCGAGCGTGATGTCAGGGCTCGGCTCTCGTGTGGGAAACCTGCTGTGCGTCCCACCAGAAGCCCAGCTCTGTCTGAGTCCAGCGTCCCGGCCTTGGTGACATGGTTCCAGGCACTTGGAATTTGGTTTTATTGCCTCCCATTAAATATTGGTCACTCTCTGCTACACAGAACAGCAATTTTTATTCCCATTTCACAGATAAAGGTGTAGAAATGGACTCAGGCTGACCCTTCTAACAAGTGGCAGGGCCAGGGGCAGACCAAGCCAAGGCCGGAATAGGATGGCCGGGGCATACGGCTGCCTCAGCCCTGTCTGACAGACGGCTTCATTTCCTAGAGCCTCAGCCGGTAGGTGGCAGAGCCGGAGCGGGGGCCAGGCTTCTCTTCACCTCATGGCTGATGTAGCCTCAGGCCACTGGGCGGAAGCCTGGGGAACTCCAGCCTCTGGGGCCTGCATGAGGTGGGGAGGCCCCCAGTGAGCCTGGGGGTGGCACAGGGGACAGAGCTGCAGACGGCCCATCCCCTACCCAAAGGCCCCAGTTCCCAGCCTGTTGGTCTGTCAGGGACATGCTGGAGGGCCAGGTCCTGCGTCAGAGGCCAGGTCACAGGACTCTCCAGGACTCTTGACCAGGAAGGGTCCTCAGGACCAGCTCCATCTGCTACTTGCCAGGAGCTTGGGGTCTGGGAGAGGAGCCCATACCCAGTGGGAGCCCAGCGTATGGTCCCGGCTTCTCCCAAACCTGGAGCAGCTCCTCCACCAGCCTGCGGCTCCCCGGAGGGAAGGACTGGGTGCAGCCCCTCAGCTGGGAGGGAGAGCACATAGCACCCACCACCACCACCACCACAGGCCAACCCAGGACAGGACAGATGTGGTGGCTTCACTGAGGGGGAGCGGGTCTCCTGTGCAGATTCCATATGTCCCCATGCTCCCCGACCTGGCTGCAGTCACACAGCTCTCGGAAGGGCCCCCAGGGGCTCTGCTCACATCCTCAACCAACTGGCCAGCCATGTGGGGCACCAGACCAGGCCTGCCAGTGCTCAGGCCCTCAGAACCACATCACCCTTACAGTGGGCCATCACCATGGTGCCTCCTGCCTGGCGAGGGGAGGGTAGCTCCCACTGGTGAGGGGATCCGCTCTAGTCCTATAACCTCAAATTTCCCCATGCGGGAGGCAGGGTGCAGCTGGCGAGGCTCCTGTGAGTTAAAGAGGACCACAGTCCTTAGTGAGGGGCAGGGAAGGAGAGACGGGGTGGCAGGGACCTTCTGGGCAGTAGGGTCTGTGGCCTGAGTCCTGCACCTGCACCCTACTTCCTGCTGAGCTCCTTGGCCCGGCAGGTGGCAGCCTCCACAGCACTCATGGTGGCTGCCCGAAGCCCGCCCTGCTCCAGGGCATGGAGCCCATAGATGGTAGTGCCACCCGGCGTGCACACATCGGTCCGCAGCTGGGCCGGGTGCTGTCCCTTCTGCAGTAGCATCTTGGCCGTCCCCTGGGGAGAGGGGTGTTAGTGGTCACTGACTCGAGGGCGGCGGGCAGCCCCTTCTCCAGCTCAGCCCCTGTGTAGCCTGCTTCATCATGCGTTCCCCCTGACGTTGGCCCCGACTTCCAGGGTCTGCGGTCTCCCTTCCCGCTGCTCCCAGGAGGCAGATAGGCCCATCCCCTTCCACATGCACCCCTGGGGTCACCATCACTCACCAGCAGAGTCTGGGCAGCGATGCGGTGGGCCAGGCCACTGGGCATGCCCATCTTGATGGCGCCTTCAGCCAGGGCCTCGGAGAAGGCACATACCTGTAGGAGCGGGGGCGGTTGGGGGGGGGGGGTGGCAGAGTCAAAGACAACACTCCTCGGGACATAGCACCCAGCCTGGAGAAGGCTTGGAACCTTCAGGAACAGGGCCCAGAGTGTTGGCCACCCGTGCAGAACCTAGGGCTGGGGCCTGGGCCCAGGGGTCTGTCTGCCAAGGGACTGGCTGCGCAGGCCCAGGAAGGCGATGATGTGGGGGAAGGCAGAGCTCACAAGAAGGCCCTGCTTTGTGGAGGGCTGGCCTGGGGGGCTGGGGGGGAGGGGGCCAGACGACACTTACGAAGGCCACGCCGCTGCCGCTGAGGCCGGTGTGGATGTCCACTTGGGCCTCGGGCACCTCCTCGCACTGCCCACAGGCCTCCAGCAGAGTCTGCAAGAGCTCGGCATCGCTCCTCCCAGCATGGCGGCCCCGAGCCATCACCATGGCCCCCTCCTGGACCACGCAAGGCAGGTTGGGCGAGACCCGCAGCACCCGTGCAGTCGGGGGCAGCAGCTGGCCAGAAGGAGGCTGGAGTCAGGGAGCCTGTGGGACCGGCCCTGCCAGGCGGGCATAAACCTAAGTCAGCCTCCCTCCCCTGCTTCCCAAGTACAGCACCAGGAGGAACCCAAACCCGTCCCCTCAGCCACCTGGCCGGCTCTGCAAGCTAGGTAGGAAGCTGTGTGTCACCTGTCCGAGCCATCCTGAGCCCAGGCTGGGGCCAGTCTGAGGCTGGCCAGCCCACTCTGGGGTTATAGCCTCAGCCCCACCAGCCACTCACCTCCTCTAGGGTGTTCAGAGAGACCCCAGCAGCCACAGACACCAAGATGTGCTCAGAGGTGACCAAAGGGGCCACCTCTGCCAGGACGGCCGGCAGGACGTGGGGCTTGGTGGCAAGGAAGATGAGCGAGCAGCTGTGCAGCACCTCCTGGTTGGAATGGGTGGTCCGGCAGCCCAGAGCCTGCACCAGGAGTGCCCCGACCAGGATGGAGTGAGTGGACATCCTCCCAGACCAGGGGTCAGCAAACCGCGGCTCACGAGCCACATGCAGCTTTTTGGGTACATTCCGTCTCAAAAGTTTGCCAACCCCTGGAAGAGCCAATCCTGTCCCTCACAACAATTTAAAAATTATTCGAGAGCCATAAATATATTTTTACATAATCACCATTATGTGAATAATATCCTTTAAAAGTTCTATAAATGAAACTATGGTAGTTTTATTTTCATTTCCAATTTTACTTCAGAGCCTGCAGCTCGCAAGCTGCAGTTTGCTGACCCCTGGCGGCTCTTTCATCTCAAAAGTTTGCTGACCGCTGTCCCAGACCATGGCCCTCCTGGCTGGAGGCCAGCCTGCACTCCCATGGGTCCCCATGGGTCTCCCCCATTGCCAGTGCCTGCATCACTCTCCTGATGCCCAGGACTCACCCAGACCCAACCCTGAGCCTCAAGGGCCTGAGGCCGGCACCGCTATGAGCTCTCTGACCCCAGCGAATGTCCATGACTATCCCTGCCTACCTCAACAAACACACGCGTGCACGCACGTGCATACACCTGTGCACACATGCATACTCCTTTGCTCTGCCCTGGCCCTCAACAACCTTGGCTTTCCTTCTGGCCTTTGACCTCCCCTTCACCAGCACAGCCTAGCCAGTCTCGAAACTTGAGCTACATAAGCAGCACCTCCCTGGCCCCAAGAAGGGTCCCGTTGGCCAGGAGCCAAGAGCCACCCTGGGCCCTGGGGGCAGCTTCCACTCAGAAGGGCTAGGCTCCAGCTCACCCGGAAGCGGCAGAGGTTCCTGTCACTTGGTGCGCTGGCCAGCACATGCTGTGCTTCCACTTTTCCTGGAGAGAAAAGCAAAGGCTGGGGTTCAGTGAGGAGGAAGGAGGGGAGGAGCCAGCCAGGCCTGCCACTTACTGAAGGCTCTCTCAAGCTCAGCCATTCCTGACCACCCCGGCCCTTGGCTGGCCTGAGACTGCAGGAACGCAAGTGCTCGGCAGGGGTGCTCTACGCAGCCGAGCCGGGGCAATCAGGTTCATTCAATTCTACTCGGGAGTCACCGCCACCGCCAGCTGCAGCTGCAACCGCTGACTCCAGAGGCTGTGCTGGGCACAGGGGCCAGGGAGCTTGCCCTGTCTTGTGAGGACAGATCCCGGCCCTGCTCCACCCTGGGACCACTGCGCGCAGGGCCCTGGCTGCCCTGGCTCCTCGCCCAGGGGCTCTGCGGGATTCATCCCTGCGGGCAGGTGAGCTCCGGCCAGGTATGCCCGTCCCCGCACACCAGGCCGTTGTCGGACGCCCCCACGCGACCCACCTGCTTGGATGAGGCCCTGCGCGATGGCCTCCGCCATGCGGCCTGCGCCCACGAAACCCACGCGCCGCAGGTCGGGCCCCGCCGCCGCCGCCATCTCGCCGCCTCCCGCCCCAGCCCCTCCCTCGTGCTCGTCCTTTGGCTACAAGGACCTCACGCTCCGCCCTCTCCCTTCCGGCTCGGCGTCCGCGCTCCACTCCTCGCTGAGCAGTGGGTTCCACCCCCTCGCTGTTCATTGGGCCGCGTTAGGCTTCGGAATCCTGTGGGCGGGCCCTAGGCGGGCGCGTCACGGGGCGGGGCAGAGTTGCAGGCGACCCGAATAGTTCCGCTCGGGGGTACTTGGCGGGCGGAGGACCTGCGCCCCGGTGCTGAGGGTGATGGCGAGCCATGGCAGGATTCTGGGCGCGTGTGCAGATCAGATCCATTTTCCAAATGGAGCCGCTCCATTCAAAGGCGAAGTGTCGGAAAGGGTGGGGTCTCCTCTGACCCCGGAGAGTGCCTGGTGGAGTCCCTTGTGGTGACGCTGCGGAGCCCGGGAGGCCACTGATTTGGTCGCTGGGCAACTGAGCTTCCAGGAGGGACATGCGGCATGCGCCCTGATTCTGATGAAAGACTGGCAGGCAGGGTACGGACTGGCGTGTCACCACGATAGATCAGGTGCTGGTGAGAGGCCCTGCCAACCTCAGGCAGGTTTCTCTGGGTGGGGGCACCTTTCTCAGGGTGCCCTGGTTCTCCGTTTGGAACCTGGGAGTGCACTCAGGCGGGAAGGTCAGGGATGCCTGATCAGAGCCTGTGGTCAGCTCCTCCCCAAGCTGCAGCGGCTCCAGGTGACAGAATAAATTGGCACTGCCAGTGAAATGTGTGAGCAGGTGTCTGGCCAACCCGGATCCTGGGTTCCGTGGGTCTCCCAGAGAGCTGTGGGGAGGAGGCGGGCCTTTCTGAGGCCTGGGGCCCCAGCAGAGACCTGGCCCGGGAGATGGATTGCTTGGCCAGGGCCAAGAACCATCTTAAAGGCTAACGGGGAGGGTGGGATCCATATGAAGTGTGCTTGTAATTCCTGACACGGTAAAAATAAGGCTTGAAGATCGAAGACTGTAGTTTGTTTGTATCATGTCCCATGTCACAAGGGCTGGGGAGCTCGAGGAGGGGCGGCAAAGGGTTAAGAAATACAAGAGTCAAGTATAGAGTTACTGCGGGCCAGGGGTCTCAAGTCTCTATGGACTTAGCCCCAATTCTGGCGAGCTGACGGGCGCAAAGCTTTTATTCTCAACTGCCACAAAGAAGTAAATTTGAATATCTAAACCCAGTTTGTTGATTTGATGTGTCTGGCAACTGCTTCACCGAAGCTCCTTGTGATCAAACACAAGTTGTGCTTTCACACATACGTATGATCCCTATGGATGGACTCAGCATTCCGAGACCATCAGATACGGAAGTTTCACCGAGATTATTCCCTCGGGTTTTAGCATTCCAAGACGCTTCCTTATGACTTCAAAGGATCAGTGCGCCGGAGGGAGCATTCGAGTTGGCAGCTGCAAGGTGACATCTTCCCATTTTTTATTTTAGCAACAGGAGGAACACAGACTAGGTGGTTTCCTGATTATTTCCCGTCTGAGCGTATGTTGTCCGTGGCAGATGACCAAATAAAATAGAAACAGTAAAATCAATAAGATTAGAAATGCACCCACAAGTCCTCCTCCAAGGGGTTTTACCCAAGGGAGGGGGTTTAAAGTAGAAAACTCTCCCGCAGCCTCAGAAAGCGTTTCATCTCCAGGCAGGAGTGATAAGTGAGCATGCGTCATCAAATCCACCGCCTGCTGTAGTTGTTGGATATTTATAGTAAAGTTAAGATTAAACACAGTAAGTAGAAATATTTCAGTCACATTTTAAAGTAGTTATTTCCTTTCTCTCTGGGAACATCCCAGGTTTAGTGACAAAGTGAGAGACATGGGGGGGGGGTTTTAAACCAATGCAAATAGGTGTTTTTAAATAACCCAAAGCCATGTGATTTAAGAGAGTAAATAAAGGAGGATTAGGCAAATAAGCCCAATAGGTAAGATTAACTGCTACAACGCTTTGCAAAAGACAATTTACAACTGAAATTACTGCAAGCATTGAAACTAGAATGTTGGTGTCAGTTTTAGGTATTTCTGTTTCACCCAAATTCTTTTCTGCCATCTGAGACAGCTTTTTCAATTGCCCCCATGTGGGAGATTGAGCTTTCTCTGTCTTGGGAGTGCTTCCTCGGGAGTGGGGCGGGGGGGGGGGGGGGGGGGTGGTTTCAGCGTGGTCGTCAGCGATAGGCCGGACATTTGGAACACTGGAGGTTCTATGTCTGCTATCCGCGCAATTTTTCTCTTCCACGAGCCGTCGCTCATGGTCAAGTTTGACACACCTGCCAGGCACCCACAAAGGCCGCTCCTCGGGACCTGGAGAAATACAAGCAAAGCCTCGTCCCCATGTTAATAAGGTTCCTAAATGCCATTGATTAGTTTGGATATCTTTCCACCAGATAGGAACATTTTCCAAGGACTAAGCGTGCTGTTGAAATGCCTCTCCGCTGCAGTCCGTCCCAGGTGTGCGTTCAGTACTTGAATCAGAGGAGTTCAAAACATGTAAGGTAAACATAGCTTTTGCTAATTGCATCTGTGGGGGGTCCTTGCTGTCTCCCCCTTTCTGTTTTTGTAACTGTTTCTTTAAGGTGGAATTAGCACGTTCAATAATGGCTTGACCCTGTGGATTGTAAGGAATCCCAGTGGTGTGTGAAATTCGCCATACAGCGCAGAAGCAAGTTTAGAGCTTGTATAAGCAGGGCCATTGTCTGTTTTGATAGAACGAGGCAGGCCCATAATGGAAAAGCAAACAAGTGAATGATGACAGATATGGGCAGTGGTCTCTCCTGTCAGAGCATTGGCGACTAGAAAACCAGAGGCCATATTCACGGTAACATGAACAAAGGATGTCCGCCCAAATGAAGGGACATGAGTCACATCCATTTGCCAGATAGCATTGGAGACTAAACCTTAAGGGTAAACTCATTCAGGACGTTCTTGTGGAGCATTAAGAATCTGACAAGTAGGGCACGTCTGTATTATTTGACGAGCTTGGTTGTTAGTGATAGAGAACCGTGAATGCAGACCACCCACATTAGTATGAGTTAAAGAATGAAAATGCATTGCCTCAGCAACTTGGACACTCCCTACTAAAGAATCAGCAATTGAATTGCCTTGTGTCAGCAGACCCCCAGGGTAGTATGTGCACGAATGTGCATGATAAAGAAGGGGTGCTGACGGTTTCTCACAACCTGCTGGGAGATGGATTGCTTGGCCAGGGCCAAGAACCATCTTAGAGGCTAACCGGGCGGGCGGGATCCATATGAAGTGTGCTTGTCATTTCTGACACGGTAAAAACAAGGCTTGAAGATCGAAGACTGTAGTTTGGTTTTTTACTGTTCACCCAAGTCTAAGATTTCATTTTAAGGATGTTTTCTTTTAAATTCTACTTTGACATTTGCAAAGCTCTTCAACAATTGAATTCCTGCAGTGTGGCCTCACTGTGGACTGGGATGGGTGCCACACAGCAGCTGACCTGACAGCTGAACCCTCAGCCTGAGGATCTGCATGGTCGGGAGAAAGCCCCTGAATGGTCAACACACAGGACAACCCAGGGGACGCTCAGGACGCACCACCACTACCCAGAGTGCTCTGTGCTAGGCCTCTTTCCCACTATGCTCGCCTGGCTGACACAAGCTCCAAGTCAGGCGCCACTGCCTCCCTGAACCCCAACATGGACAGAGCCTTCATTTACAAAGGGCTGGCACCCAGGTCCTGGAGCTCCAAGTCCCGGGGAGAGGGGGGCTCCCAGGTGTCTCCAGACAAGCCAACAGGCCATCCTGCACGGCAGGTGGGCATTCCGCGAAGGAGACCTAAAGGTGGGGGGCGGGGACACTAACATAACAGGGGCTCCAGGGTCAGCTCCTGGGGAGGCCCAGAGGACGAACAACGGCCTGCCTGAGAGACAGGGGGTGGTGACAAGTGCAGTGAGGTGTCAGCTGGGCTCAGGGAGACTCGTGTGCCTGGCACAGGGAAGACAGCCAATACTGCCTGCATAAACGAAGCAATGGACGTTGGCAGGCACCCCTGGGTCAGAAGAAAGCTGGAAGTCATCAGCACGAAGGTGGCAAAGGGCACTGGGGAAGAGGGGCCCTGAGAGAGGTGGGCTACAGGCCAGGGAAGGTGCCTGGGTCCTGGGCGAGGCAGCCCAGCAGGTTCTGGCCTGGAGGCTTTGGAGCTGGGTACTCCTGGGTCCACACCCCAGTGCCGACTGCCTGGAATTTGCCCTGCTCTCATTGAGAATGGGACGCCCGTGCCATTCACCTTCCTGCCCACACGGCCCAGAGGGTCATCTTGAGTGATCCCTTACTGTCCATGGGAGAAGGGCAGGTGGGCCCCGTCACCCGAGCTGCTGCCTTAGGGTAAGGAGATGAAGGGCCTGGCCTGGCCCGGCTCTCTCCTATGGTCCAGGAAACGCTGAGCCATCCAGTTGCCATCCCACTCAGCCTGTCCAAATCTAGACCTAGCCTCTTTCTGCAAAGTCCTGGGGCTCGGAGGGGAAGCCCAGGGGCACTCAGGTCACCAGGCCTGCTCGTGCCATGCCCCAGCAGGCAGTGCCCTGTACCCCCACGGGCTGACAGTCCACCGTCTCGCCCGAGGCCTGCCTGCTTCCTGCCTGCACACTTGTCTCTCCATGTCTCTGGCTTCTGCCACCCCAAGGACAATTAACCACCCTAGCCCGGCAGCTCTCAGGGACTGAGCAAGCAGCAGGGGATGGTGGGTCCTGGGGCTGGCCAGACTCAGGGAGGCAATGCCTGGTGTGGGGCACAGCTGGCAGAGAGCTGCTGGGGCTAGGCTTGTGAAATGCACTTTATTGGGCCGGCCGAGTGGCTCGTTGGTTAAGAGTTGGCTTGGGAGCGCCAGCTCTGAGCAGCAGGGCCGCCGGTTAGGATCCCACATGAGGGCCAGTGACGCTGCGCCCTCTACAGGTAAGATGGTGAACAGCAGCTCGACCTGGAGCTGGGCTGCCATCAGTCGCCGGTGACATAGTAGGCTGCAGCCCCTGCTGTGGCGGGCTGCCATAAGCTACCGTGTGTGGCCAGCAGCCAGTGTGAGCGGCCGGCAGCCGGTGTGAGCTGCCAACAGCTGCCGTGAGCAGCCGTCCAGAGGCCGGCGACTGATCTGCCTCAGCCGGGAAGAGCGCAATGATATTACCAACATGGGCCAGTGAAGCAACATCCTCCACAACTAGACTGAAGAACAAAAGGACAGCAACTTGTCTGTTCCCCTCCTCAATTCCCCAATGCTGTTCCCTTCCCCAATTCCCCAATAGAATCTTAAAAAAAAAAAAAGGAGAAAAAGGAATGCACTTTATTGGCTCCCAGGGAGTGGGAGAGCAAGACCTGAAGTGGACACGCTCAGGGCCTGGGCCCTGGAACTGGCGAACAAGGTGCCAAGCTTGGTCAGGCCTCGGTTTCCCTGAGAACGGACATGAGTGGCGGCCCCGCTGGACAGCTGGCTGGAGCCGCCCTGGTGGAGGGGGTGGACCGTGGGCCCGTTGCTGGGCTGGGCCCTTGACTCCTGGCAGGGTGAGGGTGGTTGCCACCGGGCTCTGCCAGCCAAGTGGCCGCCGGGGCCTGGGAGAAAGCGGCGCCTGCCCCATCACCATGCTTCACTTCCGGGCCTGCTCGTAGTTGTCTGTGAACCAGGCACAGGTCTCCTTCACAGCTGCAGAGGGCAGGTGAGGGCCAAGGCTGCACTGAGCTCCATGGGAGGTGTGGAGGGTGGGGGCCCCAGTGACATAGGGCAGTCATCGTGTCCTGCCTCCCTGATGAGGGTTTGTAGACCAAGCCTGCAAGGTGTCCACCCCCAGCTGGCAGTAGGACGCTGAGTAGGGAGGGACAGTGGTCTCCCAAAGGCAAGGAGAGGCCGGGAGGTCCTGAGGGATGGGGGTGAAAGGGCCACAGAGGGGCTAGGGGCTCACCCTGCTTGAAAGGCGTGAACTGGAAGTCAGGCAGGTAGGCCCGCAGCTTGCTATTACTGGCTGTCTTCTTAAACTGCCCGTCTGACTTCGTCGTATCAAACTGGGCGCCTGGTCAAGGCGACAGCAGAAGGGGCAGCCCCCCCCCTGCCCCCAGCCCCCAGCCTGCCCTTGACCTGCTCCGCCTGTCTCTGGAGAGCCTCGGGGAGAGCAGCAGACCCTGCCCTCCAACTGTCAGGGGGAGTGCTGCCTGTGCAGCAGACCTGCAGTCTCGCGCAGGGAGGCCCACCGGCCCGCCAGAGCCGAAGGATACCGTGACCTCGCCGTGGAAGTCCATGGCCTCCACCACAGCCTCGGCCGCCTCCTGGATGGAGACCTCATCCTCCTCGCCCACTGTGTGGAGCAAGGGGCCCAAGCTGAGGCCTCTGGCCTGGCCCCACTGCCATCCAGCCCCCCACAGCTGTTCCCTCCGATGTGGTGGGGATGGGGCTGCAGGGTGCCCACCTGACAGGATGATGGGCTCCACCTCATTGTACTCCCGCAGCACCCAGATAAAAAGCCGGGCCAGGTCCTAGAGTCAGACAGACAGGGTCAAAGACCACAGGTCACCTCTCCCAAGCACGCCTGTCCAGTGGGGGCACAGCCCAGGCTCCACTGGGGCCGGGGGGTCCCTCCTGTTGGGTAGTCCTTGGCCCGCTCAGCCCCAATGGACCGAGTCCTTTCTCCTGCCGAGCTCGGGGCTGTGGGGCCAGGACCTGCAGGGACCCAGTGAGGACCAGCGGCTGCTCCTCCAGGGTCAGCCCAGACCCTCAGCCCTTCCCACAGCCAGCACGGCAGGCCTGGGGAGGTATTCTGGGGACAGCTGTGCCCCCTCCTGCACGAACCAGTGAGTAGATGAACTGCCTCCGAGGCTTCCCGGTGCCCCACACCGTCAGGGCTGAGCTGTTGCCTGCAGATCCAGGAGGGGCAGTGTCAGAGGGGGCTGTGCCAGCCACCATGCTCCTCCCAGATGAGCCCCAGAGACCCCACAGGAAGGTGACCGGCCAGTGTGCTGGGCGGCGGGCACTCACTCTTGGCCAGGTGCACCTTGTGGATGAGGCCGGGAAGCACGTGACCGTCCTCAATGTTGAAGTTGTCGTGGGGCCCAAAGACGTTGGTAGGGATGACGGCAGTGAAGGTGCAGCCATGCTGCTGGAAGTAGGCCCTGCAGGGGCACAGCTCTCCTCTGACCTCATTCTGGGACTGCTCACTACCCAGCCCAGCCCACCCCAGCCTCCTCCACACGGAAAAAAACACAGCCTGGCCAGGGAGTGAGATGAGGCCTGGGCAGAGTGGCCGGGGCTACCCTCTAGGCCCCCCACCTCATGGACACTCGGGCCCTCCCCCATTCCTGGCCGGCCTCAGCTGGGCGGGTGCCAAGAGGACCTGTTCTGCACATCGATCATCCTCTTGGCGTAGGAATAGCCGAAATTGCTGCTATGCGGCGGACCGTCGTGGATCTGAGGGAGAAGGGGAGGCGGCTGCTTCCGACCCACCCCCTACCCGGGCCCCGCCCCGAAAACCAGCCTGCTGTCTCACCATGGTCTCATCGATAGGGTAGGTGGTCTTGTCAGGGAAGATGCAGGTAGACAGGCAGGACACCACCTTGTGAACACCCACCTCGAAACTCGAATGCAGGACGTTGTCGTTGATGTGTATGTTTTTCCTCTGGGGGGCAGTGGTGGGTTCAGGCCCCTCCAGGGACAAAAGTGGGGACACACCCTCCCTCCCCATTCTCCTCCAAGTGGAGAGTTCCTGAGCCTGCTTGTCCTGACCGCAGCCTGGGACAGACGGAGCCTCTGTCTGCCCCTCCCGGCCTGCTACATCCTTAGCTGGCAGCCCCACTCCCAGGGCTGGAGGAGGTCTGGGTCTGCCTTCCCAAGGGCCGTGGAGGAGAGGAGTGCACTCCTCAGCTCAGGGCTGGGCCCCACCCGCAGGGGCTGCTGAAGGCAGGGCAAGTAGCACTGGGGCAGAATGGAGCCCCAGCTGGACCTGGGGCAGAAGGGACCCCTCCACCCACTCGCCCAAGGTGCTGGCCTCACTGGCTCTACTGCCCAGGAGCAGTGAAGTCTTTGGCCGGGCCCAGCCCTCCCCTGCCAGGGCTCCACCTCCCCTTCTGGAAACTGGACATCAGGTGACCAGGGCATTTGGACTGGTGTGGGGAGAAGCGAGAGGTGGTGGCTCGGTGGCCTGCTAGTAACAGGGGCAAAATCTGCCCTGAGCAAAATCTGCTCTGAGTCTCAGTGCCTGATGCAGGGCTGAACCATGCCAAGGCTCGCTGCCCAGAGACGGTGGGGCCGACCCTCAGGGGCACAGCCTGGCAGAGCCCCATTCTCCTCCTGCCCCGTACACCGTGCCCCCACCCCCCAGGGCACATGCACAGATCCCGAGCCCAGATCACACCTCTACACCCTGGAGCGCATGGTGGGCCTGGCTCAGTGTAGCTGGACCAGAGAGGTCCTGGGAGGAGGGTCTGGAGGTAGCAACCAGCTTCAAGTCACACAGCGAATGCTGAGTTCTCTCAGTTCCTGCCACCCACCCATCAGCTCGGTGGCTTTTCCTATGAGGTCAAATGCCCTCTGGCCCACCTGCATGTCCCTCTATCTTCAGAGCAAGTTTGGGTCACTGGGGGCCCCCACCAGGCTGTGCCAAGCCCTGACCATCAGGGACCTCCTGGGGCCAGATCATGAATGTGGGAAGCCGGCCAGGAAGTTCCCAGAACTCGGCTCCTGGCTCCCAGTGCTTGTTTGGGCCCCTCACTTACCCAGAAGTCCAAATTGTATTTGATATTCCGGAATAGGCCCCCCACCATTGCAGCAAGATGGATGACATGTGTGGGCCGGACCTTTTCAAACAGGGCGCGGGTCTGTGCAGCGTCCCTGGAGGGAGCCGGGCCATCTGGGGTCACTTGAAGGCCCAAGGGAACTAACACCCTGGGGGCTGGGGTACAGGGGACAGGAGTTGGGCAGGGCTGATGGCAAGATGGGCTGCCGAAAGGGAAAGTGGCCAGTTCAGATGCCAGCTGCTGTGAAGGTGTGAGCTCCCCGGAAGAGATGGGAGGATGTTTGCCTAGGAGCAGAGCTTCCCACACCCAGGCCACACCAACCACCTGGTGGGGAGAGCGCAGACAGGAGGCCATCAAGCTCCAGGACAGGTCTGGGACATCTGTCTAGAGAGAGCATGTGGGGGTGCTCCAAGGCTGGGCCCACTCACGTGAGATCGGCATCCTTGGAGGAGACAAACACCCAGTCTTCTCCGGGCAGCCTGGCCCCATCTGCTACCACCTTCTGTATGGCTCTGCCCACCAGCCCAGAGCCCCCTGTCACCAGGATCCGCATCGACTCCCGGGACTCGTCCATGTCGGCTGTACCTGTAAGGCCAAAGGACCTGAGGCTGAGGCCATTGTGCTCCCATGCAACAGAGCCTCACTCCCCTGAGATGCCCCTGTTTGGAGTCACTGGCTTTAGCACTCCACCCAACTGTCCAAGGGCTGGCCCAGGGCACCCTGGGACAACTGGCACAGGATGATACCCCCCAGAAAGAGATGGCCTGCTCGGGACCAGAGAGGCCTGACTGGCCTGTCATCCCCTCCTCCCAGCCCCATTCCCCAGGGAGCCCACTGCCTGGAGCTACACAGGGACCTTGGGGCTACCACCCAGCCAAGAGAGCCTGTCCAAGGTTCCACCCAACAGGCCCAACACAGAGCCCCACTGGGCTGAGAAAGGGAACACTGGCTCCCCTTGGGCTGACAAGATGGGAGGCAGACAACCTTGGAGGTGGGTGTTCCTGGCCGGATCATCAGGGCTGCTACCAGCCAATGCCCACGTTACAGAGGAGGGGGGCCGGCCCCTGTGTTTGCAGTGCAGTGCCCATCTCCAGCCCCCTGGTCCCTGAAAGCCTCTGCCAGCCTAGTGCCTCCTGGGCAGGTCGCGCTTTGGGCTCAGAACTGGACAGACCTCGGGGCACCCCCCCCCTCGAGGATGCTATCCTGAGGGGTGGAAATCTGCTTGGGCCCCTACAGGATGGCTCTGACTTCGGGTCAGGGTCCCCTATCCAGCCTCCACGGGAGAGGCCCTGCTCAGACATCCGCTGCTGCTCCAGATCACAAAAGCTGTCCAGCACCAGGCCTGTGGGGGAGACCCCACCGCGGCCTGGCTTCCTACCACGCCCCCATCCCCTCACAGGACTGGGGCCACCTCCATGTCCACGGGTCCCCTCCCAAGCCCTCAGGCCCTTCCCACGCCCCCAATCCCTTCCGCGGCCCCCTCCACGCCTACAGGTATCTTGCAGCTGGGCCCCCCTCCCACTCTCCTGGGATCCCGGCAGCGCTCAGGGCTCTCTGGCTGTCACGGAGCGCCCAGGGTCCAGGCCCTGGCGTGCCACGCCGCGACCCCCGGGGATTACCTCGTTGTCCCGAGGTAATCTCACCTGCACACTACCCCACCTGCCCGGGGTCTGAAGAGCTACTTCCGGCGCTGGCTAAACCTCCTGCCGCGCGCCGGGGCCAGGTGGAGAGGGCGGGGCCGGCGCCCTCCCGCGGCATTCTGGGACTTGGAGTCCTCGCGAGGCGCCCGGGCGATACTGGGAAGTGGAGTCCGGGGCCGCGCAGCAGCCCAGGGAATGTGTTGCAGTTCTCGCCCGCTCTGCGTCCGCCGAGCGGGTCCTGCGGGGCGGATGCTGGGCCGGTGGCCTCAGGGTGCTCGGGCCACAACCGCCTTGACTCAGCCGAGGCCCTGGGCAGGACCCTGCCGGGGACCGTGGAGGAATGCGAGAGGAGAGGCCGCGCATCGCTGAAGCCTGAGTTATGAGGGGCAGCGGTTGTCGCCCGGCGGGAGCTCTCTGACTCGGTGGGACCTGGGTCCCGTGGGGTTCGCGCTGTGCGGCCCGCAGGCCTGAGATGCGACGCATGCCCGGTGGTGGCCGGCCGCGGGTTTCCAGGAGGGATAAGGCAGGAGCTTTACTCGGCTCCCCTACACTGTCACTGTCGCCTTCCTGCCGTCCTCTGACCAAAGGCAGTCCCCATACCGGACTCCAAAGCTCTGTACCCCGGTACGGAGGGAGCAGCTGCAAAGGACGTGGTTGCAGAAGAGTGGGGAATTGGGGGCCGTCTTTGTAATCAGCACACCACGGATGGAGGGCTTTCCCCAACAGGGGAGTACCCGCTCAGGCGCTGCGCTTGAGTGAATGGAGGGAGGGGGGCCACCAAGGAATCTGGGTGGGGTCCCGGGGAGGGGGCCTGAGGGCTTGGTTACCAAGGAGCAGGGTTTCCGGCGGGGTCCTTTCCCTCTCTGCCCAAACTAGGGCCCAGCGCTCTGCCGGGGCTGGCGAGGGGGGGGGGGCGGTCAGCGGGAAGGAGGTCGTGGTCAACAAGGCTCCCTTCTGGGACTTCCCTCTCTCACACAAACTTCCCCGAGATCCCGTCCATAAGTGCATTCACAGTCATGAGCCCCTAGACTACAGAGGTAATACGTGCATAGCCCTCTAGTTAGCCATGGTGAACCTTTTGTACCAGGGAGGAAGCTGAGGCTCAGGGCATGGAATAACTCCAGTCACAGTGAGTGGCAGAGCTGATGGGAGCTGGTCTGTAGAGGATAGGAGTGGGGACGCTTTCTTTTGGGTCAGTCTGTGTGTGGTCTCTCTAGTCAGTGCTCTTCACCCTTCCGGCCTTGACTACTCCATATCTGGTGAACTGTTTTGCCCAGATGTCCTGCCATTGCGTCTCAAACTCCTTTCCTCCCCCCGCTTCTATGAATGGCCGTGCCATCTCCCCATGGCCAGGCCTGCCCTGCCCTCCCTGGGGCACCTTGCTGCTTGGGGAAGAAAGGCAGGGCCTCACTGCTCAGAGTACTGCCCTCCACCTACCTGGGAAGCTGGTGACAGGCCTGCCACAACTTTCAAGGATCCCAAGTGAGAGTTCATGCCTTCTATCTAAATGCAAGTATTTAAAAGCAATCAGCCAAGCCAAGAAACTGCTGAATAAAATGTGCTCTGTCCTCCCACTGTCCACATAATATAAATGGAGCCACTTAAAATTGGAGCAGGAGCTGCCTGCCGTCCAGGGGAGACCCTTTGCCCGTCTTGGTCCTCAAACCTTTGGAATGTTGAAACAGGGCAAAATAATCTTTGCACTGGACCTTAGCAAACGTGTATCCCCAAGAATGATTTGCAAAGATATTAAGAAAATAGATATGACTACTGGACTGAGAACTATGTACAGGACTGAAAATTAAACATTGTTTAAAATTAATGTCACTATATTACGTTATCTGCACCAATAGCATCGCCTTCCTTCTGTGGATGCCACTGTCCCCTCCCCTTCTCATAAACATCCCCTGCCTTTGTCTCCTAATGGGAACACTATTTGGGTTTCTGCCTGAATCAGTGCTTCCCGAATAGCTATTCTTATTGATCTCAAGTAAATGCTTGTTGCCTCTCATTTTGAAAGAGGCTCCCTTGACAACATCTTATTATGAAAATATATTCCATATTTATAAAATTTAAAAATGTCCATAAAACTATGTTTTTTATATGACTAGAAGTCAGCAAAATATCAGAGATAACTGAATTTAATTATTACTGCATGTCTGGTGTTCTGGTGATGGGCTGGCAGGGTTGGTTAATTAAATAAAGAACCATAATTCCCAAATTGTTACATATCCATCCCATACAATTTAGTTTTCTTCATTTCAGCAAAATTACTAATGATGTTGTTATAATCAGAATTTGATTTGGGTCCTTTGCTGACCCTTGGCCCATCATATGCCCAGGAGAATGGTCTGAGAAGAAAAAAGGTTTAGGATAGCACCTGATTTCACACAGTCTCCAGGGACAAGACTGGAGAGGAGGGTCAGGCTGCCTTAGATTCAGTCACGGGACCCGGGTGACACACTCAGACTGACAGTACCACCATGACTGTGTGCAGGGGACCTAGGAAGTACCGCAAACCAAAATTGAGGTCCTTTTACAAAAAGAAAGAGGGAGGGTTGGATGTAGAATAAGCTAAAAACAGATTCATTACAATGCACCCCTTGATTACCCAATATCCACATAAGCACATCTTCCCACAAAACGATTCCACTCTTCCTCTCAACTCTTCCCAACAGAATGTGATTATTACACACATCTGAAAATACTCTGTCCCTCCCCAAAGGAAGAGAGTCCAATGTCCGGTTCATTTACTACATCCTGTGTCACATCTAGCATTTCTGAGCCACGTCTTCTCCCTTACTTCTGGCAAAATTCCACCATATGTCTGCATCGCATAAACTTCATGTTGAATTTAACCGTTGCTGCTACACCCTAACAGGAAAGAGGTTCAAGACAGAGAAAGCAAATTAACTTTAAAATATGACTGTAACACAACCTTAAAAACATAAATACGGCACATTAAGGAAATAACTATGGAAAGACCTACAGTTCTTGTAAATTAAAGTCTGAGGCAAACCAACGTTCTTCCTTTGTGAGTAATCTACTTTATTCTGGACGTTTGCATAGTATTTTATCTTTGAAGTTCAGTGATTTCATTACACTTGGTGTTATTTTCTTGGCGTAATTATTTCCTTAGCTCATAATAGGGCCTTTTTGTATTGCAATTGGATCACTCTTTTGTTCAGGAAAGTTTATTTCGGTTATCGCTTGGAACTAGATAAATTGGGTGAAACAACTCGGCTGACAGCACACCGCCACCCCCCCTTTTTCATCGTCAGTTCACCTAGTGGCATAAGGATTCCTGTAAGATCAGCCAAGATAAGATGACATAACATAACACTTCATATTACATTTTATATTTCTGTATTTCCTCAAATGATCATGAATTGTTTCTGTAACACGTTATTTACTATGTCTGTAAGAAAAACGCACTTACAGTTCCACTGTCCATGGAGACACTATAAGTGCTAGTGTGAGCTCTCCCTGAATGTCAAGAATTCCATGCTGATCTCGGCACACAGAGGCACAGCCTGCTCCTTGGCGCTTGGCCCGCGCTGGCCAACTGACTTCGTATCAATCTTACCCGTGTCACCACCACTGGCTCATTTCATATATCTGGTCCCATATTTCGACTATGCATTTTAATAGTTTTTAATGTTATTGCTGTATAGAAAACATACGTACTATGCAAACTTGTTCTCGGTGGAACAACTGGTGGCAGAGTAATTTAAATGCAATGCATGTCCTTCACGGTTCATATCGCCTGACTTAAGCAAAAAGTCAGCATGCGAGAAAATGAAGCTGGGTCGGGGAGGACTTCAGTGCCCAACAGCAGCAGGGCCCAGCGGCCTAGGTCACAGCATTCACATCCCACTGCAACAAATCCAAAAAGAAGCAGCCAGAACCAAGTGATGACTAGGATTGTGTGGCCTGCTGTCACGTCCTGCGTGGCAAGGGCCATGGGAAGCAACAGGGGCAACGCAGAGTGGAAGAGCACAAGAGACAGAGATAAGGCTCAAGCGGGACCAGGGGGCATCAGCCTCGTGGACTGAGCCCCGAATCAGGTCTTTGCATGGCTTTTATTGAGAAAATTTCAAAGGAAGTGAAACTGAATTACTTAAAGATCCACGTGCTACGTGCCTTAAGGCTGTTTTCCATTAACCAGCTCCTATTGTATTCCAACATGTACTATGCCCTCATACAGCCTGCACAACCCCCAGGACGGCGCCATTGTGCCACGTCCTATAGAAATAAAGAGAGATGACTGATATCATTCCACCGGGTCTCAGCGGTCCGAGACACTTCCTCAGGACCTGTTAGGTCAGGGGTTAGTGCGTGGGTGGGGGTGGGGCGGTCGTGGAGAGAGCTGTAAGGCAACAGCCTGCAGATCCCCGTGCCAGGTTCTCAGGGTGTGTTGTCATAAAAAGTCATCTGTAAGCATTGTATACTGTCTGGGTCCCAAAAGCTTTTAGAACCCACCTATGTTGCAAATACAGATCTACATTTCAAAAATAAAATCCCGATGCACTGGAAAATAGTCACTTTAAAACTATAAGTTCGTCCAGGGAAGTGCTACAGAGCTACAAATGGAGCAGCTGGGGGGAGGGGGAGTGCTGGCCAGTCCTGCTACCCTCCTATGGTGGGAAGGGCCTGAAACGCACATGTTGATCGCACATATTGATTAGGCCATGTCCGCTGTGGCCCTGGGTGGTCCTCCTGGGGCCCCTCCTGAAGTTAACCCCTCATTTCAGTTGAGGCCCAGGAGCCAGTCCGGCTGCTTCCAAAGCTTAACTTGCTGAGATCAAGGCTGCATCGCTGCACAAGTGGGATTTCTGATGGTTTCTGAAGCTTGACTTCCAGATGAAACTCTTCCTACATCTCGTACACCTGAACCAGCTCTTCCGGGTGTGGATCCGCTGGTGCTGGATGAGGAGGGAGCTGTAATTGAAGGTCTTTCCGCATGGCTGGCATCCGAAGGGCTTGTTGCTGCTACGCACCAGCTGGTGGCGGCGGTGCAGCATGGAGAGGCGCGTAAAGAAGTGGCCACACTCTCCGCACGCGTGTGGCTTCTCGGCTTGCATGCGCGCTGCGGTGCTGTGCTGGCTGT